CAAGATCTCTGTTCGCTACGAGTAGAGAACATTTTGTTTCAAAATTTTCGATTTTTTTCATTTTTCAAAATTATTGATTTTGTCGACCCGATATTTCTGTAACGAAGCAATGAAGAGAAATGTTCTTTTTGCCAAGCAATTACCCATGAAGTTTGCTATAAAAAAGGTTCTTATGGTTTTTGAATCCGATGTTTCCTTTAGTTTCTGCAATTGTTCTACAAATGGTCACTCCAGTGACCAAGAGGGGGTAAAGGGTTAAGAATGAGTAAAAGTTAGAACAAAAGCATAAAGAGAAAACACTGAGTGTCTCAATTTATTTGCAACATTATTTATTTCACATATATCTCTGCTTCAGCATCTAGTGGTATGTATGTTTCAAACGAGATGCATCATTAAATTCTCTACAAAAGCCTATTGAGCATGAAACCCGTTCGTTCTCAAAAGGTTAAAATAACATGAGTCCAAAATAGTCCAGGATCAAGTACAGTGGCCTAGTAAAGTTTTTAAATTTATTTCCCGCTCATTCTTTTCATTCTTTCTGTTTGACGATATTCCAAGAATAAGCACATCGATAATAAGAATGAAACTGATGTCTAGTCTTTGAAAAACTCTATTGATTACTGATTTTTGACATTTTTTAGTACAACTTCTTTCACGGTTACTAATTTGTTTTACAAAGTACCTGCTGATGTGTTTGTTTATCGTGGTGTCATATAAAAAAATTGATGTAAATCCATCATCTATTTCTTAGTTGATCTTACTTCACAAGTATTTTTTATGCAAAAAGGATACCTTCGTCTCAGTATCAAGCAAAAAAAACAGATAAATATTTGTAGAAAATTGACACGCCGTTAAGCAATCGAGATTGTCAGTTTTCAGACGATTAAGTGAATTAATATCATTTCTTGCACGATCAAAACTTGACTGGTAAAACCCAGTGTTCTACGTTGTTTGACAGTGCTGCTTTTTTCCTGTCGAAAGACTAAACTTAACTTATTCTAATGGTTATATTCGATATCAGAAGAAATAAGTTACAAAAAGCTGAAGAAATCACTAGGAAACAAATACAGTTTGTTTCGTGTCATTGTTTGATCTTGAGAAATTTAGAATCATAATCTGTTACAATGCACCCAACAACTTTTATCTAACTCAATTGTTGGAACTTTTAAAACGAAATTGACATTCTACCAGCCACTGACGCTGAGATAATAAAAAATGTTGCAAATACTTTTTGAAACATTCGATAAAAGTTGAAATACAACAAAACATTCTCTAAGCTTTTATTTTACTTTAGACAGTATTAATCAATTGAAATTACTCAATTTTAATAATTTGGAAAATATTTCAACATTACGAGAATTAATTCGTGTTTGGTCACAAATATGTCGAGAGCTGCAGGAGAAAAATGATCAAATTCAAGAGCAACTTCAATTGAATCAAGATGAAAAACAAACAATGTTTAATGCTTATTACAGTCTATGTAATTATATACAACATATTAAAGAGAAATTAATCAATGTTAACTATGATACTGTTCAAAATGAGTTGACATATGATCAGTTTGAATCGACATTTCAATTGAATGAGACGGTGAATAGATTGAATTATGAAAATCAACAATTAAAACAGGATATCATCAAACAGACATCCATTCATCAACAACAGCAGCCACAAACAATAATTCCTTCTGGTAAGTTTAACGTCATAAGACTCTTGAATGATTATATTTCAAAGATTTCTTTAATCTCGTTTAAATGAACTAAAGACAATACATGTTCAATCATATTTACCTGATGTCGTGTTTAATTTTTCTTCTTATATCTCTGTTTAGATGTGAATGATTTTGTTCTTACATCAATACCAAAACCTAATTTATTAGATACTTCAATTCAAACTGATTCGATTGAGGATAACAAGAATGAGAGCATCGAACTTATCAATCGTTTACATCAATTAAATAGTCAAATTGAAAATGAATTAGACTTTGTACCATTACAACAAGTTGATCAACATCCCTTAGATAAAATCGAGTTTTTATTTCATCATTTAAAATCTCAACTTTTCTCTGAAATATCTCGTTGTGAACAATATGCACAAGCAAATAATCAATGGCAAACATATTTTGAAAAAAATTATGCACAAGAATTTCAAACAAAATTTGGTCATTTATTACCATTTGAACAAGGACTCATTGACGAACATTTGACATTAGAGCAATTTGTAGACAAATTATTAAATATAATTCAACAGAATGATATTAGAAGTAAACAAAGAGTAAGGGAAATGTTTGATGATGTGGTGCAGTTTAATGATTTAAATGAAGATGCACTTGAACAACAATTACAAACAATTAAACAACAATTTGAATATTATAAACAAAAGAGCATACAACCAATGAGCTCAGATGCAGGTGAGTTATCCACTGATTGATTCAATTACAGGAAAACATTGATAGTAGCCGATTCTTCTTTTTTTAAAGGATAATCAGCATATAGTTTCTGCTTTTTTTTCAGTTATTAAAGATCAACAGATGCCACCCATTGAAGAACGTCTTCAGACTGTTGCATTGCAAACAAAGGAGAATGATGAACAAACGTCTAAACTAGAAAAAGCGTTAGATCTTCTAAAAATTGAAACATCAAAATTAAAATCATCTCAAGACGAAATTGAACAGTTAAAATCTGATCACCAACAGCAGTCCGAGTCTTTAACGAATATAAATGATCAACTACTTCGAATGACATTAGATACGGAACTACTTCATTCGGATAATTTAGCATTAATCGAAAAAAAACATCAATTAGAAATGCAATTGGATCAAATGAATGAACAATATACGTCAATAATAAATATAAACAAATACAATGAAATAGTAATTGAACAATTAAAATTTACTGTAGAAGAACAACAAAAGATCAAACTCAATGTGAGAGACGAAGAAACACAGACGACAATGGCCGAACAAAATGATATTGCTCTTCAGATATCGGTTGATACGGACGATCATCAATCTCAGACAGAATTTATTAAAAAAGAAAATAATAATCATTACACACAGACAGATATTACAAAATTGCAAAGTACAGAATGTCAAAGTAATTTGATGATAGATACTAATGACCAAGAAACACAAACACAGTTAGTTAATCAATTATGGACGCTGGTAAGTGGTTTTTTGCGATCTAATTTTCATCTACTATCGATCCATAAATACAGTGCAGAGTGGCGTTTTTCGAATAACTTTTTATGGAAAAGTCCTAGCGATCTACGGTTTTTACCATCGTGTAGAGGACGATTTTTGCCCTTAGAAAAATAGTA